CGCGTGCGTGCTCTGACCCCTGAATATTCACGGGGAGGCCACCAGCTGTGCTACGCGACTTCAGTTATTGACTGTTCCGCATGCAGGAGTGCAACCGGGATTTCTACCATGGCATGTTATGGCCTCGGGCGTCCCATTGAAAATTTGTATCATACGACATCGTTTCGACATTGTTTTTCACGTCGTTTCTACATAAAAGAGTGCATGAAATCGACGGATTCTCGACAGTCCGTGTCGTTTTGACTTTTCACTGTCGAAAAGCCGTCGATTTCATGCACGCTCTTACGTCGTAACGACGTGAAAACGATGTCGAAACGATGTAGTCGGAGAAATTACTCACTGGGGTTGGTCGTTAATGAGCAGACGGCTAATTTCAATGCAGTTTATTGACCCCCATAGCAATGCCGTTGCTTCAGCTGCTAAGGCTTCCACACACGCTGTGTGGAGCGCTGTTGGGATCCTCGAAGCTGATGCACTTGACGAACGCCATCCGGGCCGGGGGGTCCTTGACGCTGACGCCTGGACCCTTTGCGAACGACTTCCGGGGCTTGGGGCCCTTGGATCTCCCCTCTGCGAACGCCTGGCGGCCTGGCAAACTCTGAATAAGAAAGGCATTGCGTAACACATATATTCCTGCCGATACTTTCAGACCTAGCATTATTGTCACATGTTGCCTACGTGGTGGATTGGTCAGCAGAGGCACAATGACTTAAATCCGCATACCATGCAAGCAGGTGTCTGCGCGTGTTTGCCTATCTAAACATCCGAGGCAACCCTCACACACGCGGTCACACAGGCGAGTATACCATTCACTCCAATGGGCATATGTGGCCTCTCCATACCTGCGGACAGGTTGCCTTCTCGCTCGGCCTATGAGGCACCGTGGCCAGGAGGGTTAGGCTGTATTTAGTTAGGAGAGATGAAGCTGAAAGCTAAACGAGAGAGATAAAGCGATAGCCGAGAGCGAAGAATCGGTCCGGTAGTGGTTGGTTCGGGAGCGCGCAACACGACCCGAGCGAGGCCCGAGGCCCGAGGCCCGAGACTGAACCGATTTTTCGCTCTCGGGCTTTCGCTTTAGCTCTCGCGTTTAGCTCTCCTAACTAAATACAGCTTTAGGCAAGCCCGCCCGCACTCCTGCGTGCGGTAGAGTACAATTACTGTAACTTGGGTCAACAACCAGCTGGCACCACTGCGGACCAGTCACACCCTGCGTACCAAAAAGCAACAACAAAAAAAACTGATACAACCCGGAAAGGTTAAGAAAGCAACCGCTCAGAGTCAAGCGCCCACCACTAATCAATGTCGGTTCACTTTTAGAAGTCTGGGTGTCCTGCACGGCTGCCAAAACAGGTCCATTTTCCCTAACGGTTAGGGAAATAACGAGAGGCAGGCGCCTGCCAGACTCAGGGTAGGCCACCCCGCTGTACACACATGCAATGCAGGTAAGATGTGGCCTACCTACCAGGCGCTTCGAGAGAGCCCGCAGAGACTACATTTGCCAGTCTTGCAAAGGCGGAAAAAGGCGTACTTTTGGGAGGATTCCTTAAGTCACCTAACCCCGTAAAAACGGCGAAATATGTCACACACCAGCTGGTACATGAACCAACAACCTTTCGGCGCTGTTAAAACCGGGCGAAAGATTTTCTTCACACTACACCGGAATTAGTGCTCAATCGGTTCGGAATTACCGGTTCGAAATTACAAAGCAGCAACAATCGTCCGCAATTTTTTTAGGGAGTGTAGTTATCAGCGGACCATAAGGTGGTTCACCTAGGTCGGCTGGTTTTCGGGGTCAGGCGACTTAAAGGTGTACTTTCTGCTCCCCTAAAACTCAAGTCTGATACTGTATAACATTTCTGAGTGCAATACTATGTGTATCAGAGTTACAACTGTAATACCATGTATCACACTTTTTAGAAGTGTTTACAAGTGTAGTACCCCACATATATCGTACCATGTATTAAAATTACGGTTTGGTACTACACTTCAAAGTGTGATACATGAATGGAACTACTGTCTTAACTCTGATAAACATATGGTATTGAACTTATAACAGTTGGAATGTATCATCACACTTGAGTTGACAGAATGGGAACACGGGATTTTTAGTGTTGGCACTTACTCCGACCGCGCCTTGGTGTAAGCTCCCTTTCAGAGAACGGCATTGACAACGACCCTCCTCCGTCCCTTCCAAGTACGTCCTCTTGTTGGTGGCGACGCACAGGAGATGGGCTTTGAGCGTTGATCATTTTCAGAATGGCCCGCCACATTCGTACTTGGTGATCCACACCCCGGAGATAGCTGCTCCTCTCAAGCTCTTTGCGAGCTATTTCCGTCTGCAAAAATAAGGCACCGAAAGATTCTAAAATGTCAAAACTTTCCTCTCAACCAGAGAACTATTAAGCCAAGCCAACGATTAGGAGCTCATATGCGTTTTAGTGCCCACACATCACACAATGGCTGTTGCCTGAAGAAACGGGACGCTTACAGTTGCACCTAAAACCCGATTGGTTGGTCCTACCTACCCGCAAGGCAGCTGTGTGGGGCGGGTGGCCCACCCAGCACCCGAGTGCAAAGAGCCTCACGCACCCACCCGTTGTGTGGACACTATAGTGTACCGGGTGATTCAGAGAAGACGCAGGTGCGGACGGGTTTGCCTATCCTCGACACGGCGGGCGCACGGGTCTCCTCCTCACCTCTCCCCAGACCTGGACCCGTGCGCCCTCCGAGTCGAGGATAGGCAAACCCGCCCGCACCTGCGTCTTCTCTGAATCACCTGGTATTTCGACTAACAGGGGAAGAAGAAGAGTGGGTAGAACATAAACGTTACCGATTGGTCGAGAGCTTCTCGCCTCTACGTCACGCCGGTAGTGGGGGTAAGCGCTCGGCCAATCAGGAACCTTTATGTTCTACCCGCTCTTCTTCTTCCCCTGTTAGACTCGAAATACACTATTGGATAACATTAACTTACCGAGAGGAATGCGCGGCATTCGTGTGGTGTGGGGGTCGGTGGCGGTAACACATGACGGTTCATAGTCGCGCGATTGCGTTCCCCTATGGCCCAGCTCATTTAACCACGGTTGCGGGGGCAACGCAGCAATAATTGGGCAGAACCAGTGGCACGGTAGACTGGGAGTGTTGTCTGGTTGAGGAAAGTTGTGTCCGGGAAAGACAGGCACAGCAAGTCAAACAAGGAAGAACACTTGTTTTCCGACAGTCCCCAAGACT